GGAGCACGTGGATTTACGCCGTCGCTCGCGAACCCGCTCACGCCGCCGATTGTCACGCGAGTCATCAACCTGATCAACCGCTGCCGAACCCCGTCGTCGGACATTCGAAAACATGTCACACGCCGCGCGCAGACGCGGGACGAGCGCACGTGTGCCGGACTTCACGCAGTTCCGCGAATCGCGATCACGCGCGGCGCACTTCGGAGCGCTCGAGATTTATCGCGCGCACCCCCACGATTTGACGCGAGGACAACGTAGAATCCCCACGAATTCGAGGGTGTCACCTCGGTGCATTCCGCAGGTTCGTTTCGTCGACGTCTTCGACCGAGAATGTCAACCGCGACGGAATCCGGCGAGGCCGCGTAAAATCCTAATCTCGCGTAGTAGAAACGCCCGCGCGTGCGCGAATGACGAGAACGACGACACCTGACGACACCCGCGCGACACGACACGACGACACGGGGAAAATTATGATGACGAAATGGAGCGTCGCGCTGCCCGTGACAGAGCGCTCGCGCGAACGTCCATCTGCGATCTCGTTTCGTTTAATTCTATCTGCGCGCTCCGACCGACTCTCAGTCTCTCGTGCTCTCGCCTCTCGCCTCTCGCCCGACCGACCGCGGAACACACTATGCGGGCCGTCCCTACGCGCAGCCCGATCGCGAATGTAGTCCCCCGCCTACCGCGCCGCCACGGCGAAATCGCCTCAACTCCCTCGATTATCGACATTCCGCGCGTCCGTTTCGCTCGAAATTCGCGAGCGATTCCTGGAATTGCAAAATAAATTCAGGGTTGGGAAAGTTACCTTACGAAAGTTACTTGCAAATTACTTTTTATTATATTACAGAAATTACGGTTCGGCTATTTTGTTTTTTATATTGTATTTTATCATTTTTTACAATTTAGTGCTGTCGTTAAAAATTACACATATTTGTATTATTATAAAAATTAATTTGCTAATATTTTTTATATCCTTTTTAATTATATTTATGTGAAACGAGCAATGGAGACTTATTATGTTTTTTACTCTTATTAGCCTTTTATATCACGTTGTCGTATTTCGAATATCAAGAGCCCTGTTAACTTAAGTTTTTGAAAATTAATTTGCTCGTCAAAAGCGGATAAAACCGCAAATGTGGGACGCTGGTGGAATCGAATCCGTAGATCCCGAATCGACCTCGTTGTGTAGCCATTCTGAGCCCCACGACTCGTACTACCAACTATAGCTAGTAAAAGACTCGCAATCATGTTATAATATACATATATTATAACATATATATATGTAACAAATACTTATATTTATGTTAATTTTTTTGCAGTATCTATTAAATTTACACAGATTTACAATATTGTAAATATGTGTAGTATTTTACTGAAAAAAAAGTTACCATAAATTTTATACTTGTCACATATATATATATGATTACTACCATATTTGGTAGTATGAAATCGTGGGTCGCAAAGTGGCTATACACCGAGGTAGATTGACTTTGGAATCTAAAATCCCGAGTTCAATTCCATCGGCTCCCCACGGGGTTTGTGCGGTTAAGTAGTTCTCAAATTTATTTACATATAAGATTTAGCGTAAGGATTAGGTTGAATAACCTTTTCTTTTGTCGATTTTTGCTCCCTCTTCTCTACAGATGTTCTTTCCTGATTAATTTTTGCTCCCTCTTCTCTACAGATGTTCTTTCCTGATTCTGAAAATAAAAATTCAATTTTATGTTCATGTGCCGCACAGTGGTTTGTAAAAACAAAAAGGTGATATAAACTCCAAAATGTAATTTTTTTAACAAATTATTTTAAAATTAGTTATTATCTATTTTATAATAAATTACAAAATCTATTTTTAAGTTAAAATCTCAGTCTAAAGGAACAAAAAACTTAAATATAAGTTTTAATTATATTTTCAAATTATATATAATTTAATTATTTATATCATAATACAATACTTAATAAAAGTACAGTATTGAACAACAACAAATAAATAATCACTCTGAATATGTATTAATACTTGGAATATTATATTAATTATAATATTGCGTAATTTTAATTTTCGTCTAAAGAAATTCTTTCTGACAAAGTATTATCTTCCAAAATACTATTCGATTCGATTTTCTCAGATATTAAAATATGAAGATAATATCTTGTTAGGAGGAACTTCTTCAGACGAAAATTAAAATTACGCAATATTATAACTAATATTAGAAAAGATTTTAAATAAAAAAGTAAAAAAAGATTTTAGAATTTGGATATCTTCAAATTTCATCGAGATAAGCCTTTAAACATTGTTTATTATTTAATAAATAAATATTTGGCAATAAATTCTTTATGTAGTGATAGAGTAATGGTCGTGCTTATAGAAATATACGAGATACGTTGAATTGCTTAATTACAGAAGTTAGATTTGATGATCGCAAAACCGTAAGGCGTGGAAATCGTAATGTGAGATACCCAGGGTATTTCTAATATGAAATAACCCATGCTCCTATGTCATAGTGAAAATCGTTGCTAAAGTATAAATATTACTGTACAATAATAAAAAGGACAACCAGAATGAACGTCGAGTGCCTATTTCTGCGATGCTTGATTTCTGGACTACCTGGAGACGAGTTCTGGGTATAATGTATCGCATACTCATTTTTCGCGCACTCTGGCTGTGTTTGTTTATATTTAAGAAACATTAAATTAAGTTTTTTAGTTACAATAGTGATATACTTTGCGTTTGACTATTGATTTCTCGGGGCATCTCACATTAGGAGCACAATTTTTTGACTTTGCGATTTACTCGCTTTTTACATTTCTTTAATTTTAAAATAAAATGAAATTTGAATTAAATTTTATATAACATTATCTTAAAGCTTATTAAACTCCCTTCAAAATGATCTATTATTTTTTTTAATTCTGCCCATAGACTTCTAGCATTTACCCAAAATGAACTTGGTATCTCATTATATATATATAGAAAGAGGCCTTTCCTCTATATTATAATTAATATGATTTAATAATATAATTAAAACTTGTATTTAGGTTTGTTGTGTTTCTTTAGACTGAGAGTTTAACTTAAAACTAGATTTTATAACTTATTATAAAACAAATTTTAACTAATTATAAAATAATTTGTTTAACAATTTACATTTTGGAGTTTATGCTGTTTTTTTTATTTTAAACCATTATGAGCCATGAAGCTCCGGGCAATATATTACACCATTAACCTACCAAAAAAAAAAGTAATATCTACGAAAATGACAAAAAGTGGCAAGTTTTTTTTGTCTGTTGTTCAAGTTTAATGTGTGCTTGATAAAATAGACAAAAAAAACTCTACTGGGAAACGTTGGAAAATAAACTAAGAGCCTATGTGCACCAATTTTATTTTATTTTAATGTTACAGTCGTAACATAAAAAATTGATTTCATATTTATTTTACTTCTTATCATCCGAGATACTAGCCTGATTAATATCACTTTCCAATTCACAAACAAATTCCCAGCCAGCACATAATATTCTTGCACTGCTCTATAAATCTTTCTACGCGAATGATTTTAAATAAATATTCTAATATTATTATAAGAGAATATGAATCTTCTCTGTAATTCAACTTCGAATATTTTTAATTGGATAATATTGTATACGTTTTATGAAATATTTACCGAACGTGATTTTTCGAATATTCGAGAGCCTTGTATACTGGAATATTCGAAAAATAATAATTACCACTGAATGACGTGATATCGAAACACGAACAAGCGCAAACGGCAAAACGGGCACTGGATGGTCATGCATGGATCATGAGAGATTCAGATTGCTTAATTAAATAACGAAAGGTATTAAAAATTTGATATAATTGTCAAAGTAATAATAATAAAGAAGCAATACATATAATTTGTGTATAAGTATGTTTATAAGTAAATAAAATGATAAAGAATATATATTATACACATATATAGGTTATGTTGCATAATTTGTTTACAGGTATTTTTTTCGATAATAATACCAAAAGTAAAACGCAAGATGAGCAGTTATTTTTATCAAGCTGTAAAAAAGGAAGTAAATTCTGTATTACAACGTTTAAATAATGATAATACTGATGCTTCTGATTCAGCTTCAAACAATGTTGAATGTGTCGAACATATTAATATTGATAACCCAAATAACACAATATTACATGAATATTCTATGAAGCTTCAAATATACCTTTACAAGAATATTCTCAAAAGAATCATCTATACGTATTCACAGAATATTCTTATTTATAAG